CATAAATTGTAATTTTAAAAGACATATGACATATTAAATCTCCAAAATATGGGCAAATTGGGAGCATTTTTTACTTCATGAGGGAATCATGGTTCCTTCTAACTTCCTTTAGAACTTGTCATCCAAAGTTCACGTTAGTGATGTTTTTGGCATGTGAAATTTACTTTAAATAACAAATATAATGATGTTCTCAGTGTCAAGAACCTGAGGAAGCTGGGCATGGTGGCACACGCCTGTAATCCCAGCACGTGGGAAGTTGAAGAATGAGGATTGTTGTGAGTTTGAGACCAGCCAGGGCTACAAAGGGAGCTCAAGGCCAGCCTGAAATGCACAGCAAAACCCTGTATCAAAAAGACAAAAAAAAAAAAAGAACCTGAGGAATTTTCAGAGGTGCTCCCCACAAGAATCGGAGGAAGTATGTCATTCCTGGGTCAAACTGCAAGACCAGCACTCAGCATTCCGCCATTCAGGTCACAGTGTAAATATTTGATTGGAGAGACCTGCCTTGGTAACCAAACCTAACATCTCTACCCTTCAAGTCACTACCACTAGCCTGTTGCATTTTGTTCATGGTTCTTGATCCTGCTCAGTTCTCCTTTGTTTACTGAATGTGTACTTCCCCCATCTCTGCCATCTTGGTCACTTGCTTTGTCTCTGGGATAAAATACACACCCCAAACCAATAATGAAGAGTTTCATTTTGGCTCACATTTTAGAAGTTTCAGTCCTTGCATGGTGGAAGAGAGCAGTATCATGGCGGCCAGGAAGCAGAGAAAAAGGGGAGGAGCCGGGGAGGAAGATGCACCCTTCCAGGTCGCACGGCCATAAAACCTCTCTTCCAACCAAGCCCCGCCTCCTAACAGCACTTCATCTGTAAACTCGTCAGTGCAGTAACCCACTGATGAATACAGAGTCCCTGTGATCCAACCACCTCCCCAAAGCACCACCTATGATTGCATGAGAGGTTAGGGGTACAACTAGATATAAGCCATAACACCCCCAGAAAAGGTGACATACGGTAGTCACTCATGCTGGATGAGTCAATGCAAACTATGAATGGATGAATGCAGAGAAGGTGGGTGATTCCTAGGCCAATGGTTTTGCCCTGTGCTGAGATTTACCATATCAAAATGTGGAATGCAAGTCAATGAATACATGGTGTCAACTTGAGGAGTCTAGAAGCTTCACTAAGTAACTCAGCAGTTCTGCATCCTAGGGTGTAGAGGACCTGCCCTTGCTGCTCTAGGACGTTGGTCATTGTGTCAACTTGAGAAGTTTAGAAGCTTAACTAAGTGACTCAGTAGGGAGCCAGGACCCTCATTTTGTAAACACCCTCAGCCTGTGCAAGAGCAGGGCATGGAGATGGTGTGAGCTCTACACCTGCCCTGTGGGAGGGGGGTGGCCTGCTACAATATAAGGGAGGAAAATTGGCTTTCTCTCTCCCTTTTTGCTCTTGCTGCTTTTGCTACCTCATGCTACCTTGAACTGTTGCCCCTCTTCATGCCCTCTGCCTTGGAGCTATCTGATTATAGGCTGAAACTTCCACAAATTTGAACTAAATAAACCTTTCCTTCCTCAGCAAACTAGGTATACAGGTCCCATTCAACCCATCTATTCCCCTTCTGTGTATTTCCCCAGAAGACCTGAAAACATCATATCACAGCGATATATGTGCACCCATGTTTATAGCAGCACAATTTGTAATTACTAAATTGTGGAAACAAACCAAATGTCCATCCACTAAGGATTGGATAAAAAAAAACTGTGGTACTTTTATATAGTGGAATATTACTCACCTATAAAGAAAGATAAACTCAAGGCTTTTATAGGTAAATGGTCACAACTGGAGACCATACTCATAAGTGAAATAAATCAGATCTGCATGTGTAGGCACCATATTGTCTCACTAGTGTAAGACCTGAAAGAGTGAATAAAAACTAGGAGGTATGATAGACATTGTGAAATGAAAGGAAAATGCTCAAAAGTAAAGGGCAACTGGGGTGTGAGAAAAGAAAAGGGAAAGAGGGGAAATTATGTGAGTATATATATACAAGATAGCTAACATAGTTGTACTACTGTCTTCTATTGCTCTACAGAAAGGAACAGTTAATGATTACTTGTTTGATCAATCTTGTATGCCTCTATTTGTTTTCCTGAGAAACCACTTTGAAGATATCAATAAGTAATACAACAACCATTGTTAATTTCCTTCAACTTTGTCTGTAACTGTTTTTTTTTGTATTGTTCTTATGCTGTTTTGTAAATGGATGTCTGTTTGTTAATGTTTTCCTTCTTTTATTTTTTAAGATAAATAAATGAAAAAACCTTTCCTTCCCTAACTTTAGGTGTTGGGTATTTTGTCTCAGTAATGAGAGAAAAGTAACCACAACAAGCAGCTTAGTTAGAACTTGGAGACACAGAGGCAGAAGCAAAGGCACGCATCCAGGCATAGTCCAAAGCAGGCATGTGATCACCACACTCTAGGACTCTCACTGTGAGTGGCAGTGCTTTGCCTTAGCTGTCTCTCTGTCTTTCCCACCTGCACCTCTCCCTTCCTGCTGCCTGTCTTCCCCCCTTATAAGAAATATAAAAATACACAGACACTGTAGCCCAATTTTCTGGATTCAGTCCTGACTTTGCCACAGACAAGGTGATCTTGAGCAAATTACTTCATTTCTCTCTGCCTCGCTTTAAAAAATACAAAATAATGATAATGTCTCCCGGTATGTTTTGAATACTGAATGAAGAAATACATGTAAATCACTCATAATAGTGCCTAGCTGTTCTGGCATTCAGTAGGGGTCCAATAAATGTTATTACTCCTTATCTTCTATTTATTTTAACATCTGATGTGTAGGAACACAAATATTTGATTTAGAGTAACTTAACATACCATTTTAAAGGCTTAGTAACTTTTGCTTTAATGAATTTATAATCTTTCCATTCCTGTTAATTCATTCTGTACTAATTTTTGTTGCCTTCCCTTTCATGATGGGCCCTCTGGTTCTATTGCTGTAGCATTTCTTGATCCACCCCAATCTACTACATCCCTGCTCTGATTTGTCTTTATCAGATAGACGTTCAAATATCTATGTCCACAGGCATCTTGTTTGAACCTCAGCTCACACAGAAGTTCATGAAATTCCTCTGAGAGGTTTGCTGCCCCCAGCTCTTCTCCAGCTGGGATGTGGGTGCTGAAGGCAGCTCCACAGCCTCCCCATGCCTACATGACCCCAGGAACGTGGGAGAGGCATGTTTCCCTGCGGTGATGAGGTCAGTTTGTGTGGCCCCGATCAGGAGGGCATTCAGGTGACCCTCAGCCATCTGGTGAGGGGTGCAAGTGGCTTCTGGGAACCAAGAGCCACTGACAGCCACCAAGTAAGGGAGTCCCAGTCCTACCATTACAAGGAATGAGCCTCCCAGCAGGACAATGAACCAGAAGCAGATTATCCCCCTAAGGACTCCAGGAAAAATCTCACCCCAGCTGATGCCTTCATTATAGCCTTGTGATTTCCATAAGCAGAGGACCAGACACACCACACCAGCCTTCTAACCTGCAGAACTGTGGAGTAATCAGAGGGCGTGGTTTTAGCCATAGTTTGTAATAATTTGTTATACAGGAATATGAAACTAACATATGCTTCTCTGGAGGTATGCTGACAGAAATCTGTATTAATTACTACAGATGCTGGCAAGTTGGGGTTATATACTGAAGATATCAGCCTATACTAATATACATCCAGAATATGGACAGGGAGAAAATCAGCAGTAATCCTGGTCTCCCCAAGACTAAACTATAGGGTCCCCATCCATTTACATTTACTGACCTCATAACATACTTATATTTCAACATATTTCTGGGATTTTAAACATATAGATGTATATGTGTATATATGCACATATATGTATAATAAATCCATACATTATACATATAGTGCTTTATAATTTTTTAGCAACATAATTATAACCATAGGAAAAGAATATGCTGTTTAGAGGAGTAAATTTTGGAGCATATCTAAAGTGAGCATGAAGTTTTCTCCATTAAGAGAAAGTCAGGGTGGGTAGGAGAATGGGAAAAGAAAGACTCAAGATATATCCCATACAGGTGCAAATTCCCTATGATAAATGTGATCATTATGTATATCTAAAATGAACCAATAAACTTAATTTTTAAAAAGAGAGTCACCAAAAAATGTAGATAGTTAATAAAAAATTGATCAAAGAAGCTAACTATTCATATAGTAGTTCATAAATAAACAACATTTATTTAGCCATTTATGAAAATTTCAAATGTACCCAAGATCAGGAAGAGGTCATCTGCTTTTCTCTGGAGACGAAAGCACAGCTGAGTCCCAGGAGTCTCCAAGGCACAAGATTCTGTTTTGATCTCACAGAAAGTTTGGTGAGTTGTGAACACATTGTTCTGACCATTTCTACTTCTTCAAACTTTTATTTCTAATGTCATGGAAATTGGAAGATTTGTCAAATTTCTAACACCTCTGTTATGATTGAACTTTGAGACATTGAGTTTAGATACATATATTTCACCCAGAGTTGCTCAAACAGTCCCCAAATGATATCCCCCACTGGCAGACAGCAGAAGGCACTGAGAACTCCTTTCAGAGTTGCTTACTGAGGTGAGAAAGCTCAGAGGAAGACAGGAAAAGGAAATGAGATCACTTTCCCAAAGTTGTTACAAGCCCTCTGTTCTAATGCTCTCCAGAAAGCTTGTAGAGTGAGGTCATTTTGGCTTTGGTGTTAGGTTTAGTGCAAGATACGGATTCGAATGAGCTTTTTGAATAGAGCTCTGATCCAATAAAATTCAATATGTCACCGAATGTAGCATTTTAAAAGTACACGTTCAGACTTGGTCAAATGATATTACAAAGAACGATGCTTTGATATGCTGCACACTTTGAATGGAAAAACTGAAAGGCCTCAGAAGCTGCCTTAGAATCAAAGTCTCTCTAATGTTCCCTTATTCTCATTCTTCAAATGCAGGGAGAGACTCTTCTCTGAAATTCCTTTTCTACCTAAAGACTGAATCCACCAAGAAGGAAGCCATTGACTGTTGATCCCACCCTGAGATTCCATTGGGCCGAGAAGCTTAAACTCACATCTCAGGAATACTGAGGAATTTCACCACATCTAGACACACTTTATCACAAGCTCTTCTGTTCTTCAGTCCATTCAGCCTCCAGAGAGAATCATTCACAAACTATTGTACATTCTTTGGGCCCACTGATTCCTCTAAAAAGCTTTTATGACCCCTTGAAATGGCCTACTCCTCTCCCTTCTCTCAGTTCCACATGAGAATGGATAGTAAGTTTCCGAATCTCTTTGGACTTCTGAGTGTCCATCCTGCTGTGATGCCCCATGCACATTAATTTATGTCTTTTCTCCTATTAATCTGTCCATTGTCAGTTCATTTCAGTATACCTGCAGTGGACAGAGGGACTATTTCCCTCACCCCCACACAGGCTTGATGATGGGAAAATAATTACAGATTACATGCTGTTATACTTTGAAGGGGAGCAATTATATGAGCTCTAATACTTTTAAAAAGTTACTCTGTAAAGATTCACGGAATCCAGTATATGTCAGTCAGGGTCTAAACAAGACACAAAACCACACAGTTATTTGAACAAGGAAAGTGCAGAGAGTGCAAAGAATTGATGCAATGAATCAGTAAGTTTAACAGAAGGTAGGCTGGCCAAGAGATCAGCTTGTAAGTTCTGCAGGGAAATAAAAAAAAAAAAATTACAGGAATAGCAGACAGAAGGAGCAGCCACTCCACCTCAGGCTGAGACAGAATATCCAAAGAAGAGTCCCACCCTCGGAGAGGTGGAGGGTAGGTCCTAGCTCAGAGAGAAGTCTAAGAGGGGCTTCTCCAGCCAAGCTTGCTGTCAGTCAACCTTCAGGGTGCTAGGAAAAGCTTTTTCTGGGAGGTGTCCACTAGAACTGCCCCCATGATTCCCCAGGGAGCTGCTGGCTGGAGATGCCGTTGGCTTCCACACGCTGCAGGAGTCAATACTGGAGAAAGAACCAAATGCTGGAGAAGCTGCCTACACTACAGGAATCCAGCGCCCGGTGCTGGAAAAGGGACCCAAGCTGCCAGCGTCTGCGCTGCCAGAGGCTGCTGCGTGGACCCCACAATGCCTCGCCAGTGCCCTCTACCGACAAAAGTCAACATCGTCCCTGCTGACAAGGGAAGGGTCCAAAGGACCCAGAACTGTTTTCACAAATTAAGACAATAAAGGTGGTGCTGATGCTCCCATGCAAAGAATTAGCAACTGGCAGCGAGAGTTCATTTTCTAGGGCATTCTCTTCCTAGTACAGCGACGTTCATCTGCGAAGGTGTTCACTCCGGAACTAACCCTTGAACTGGCTACTTGGGAATTTCATCTCCCCACCTCCAGTTCTTGGGAAGGATGGTCAGCGGATAATGATAGCTTCTGTATTTATAACATGCTGATGAGTCTGCCGAAATCTGTGCATTCTTATCTCTCAACAGACAAACTGTCCCCCACCTCTCCCACCTTCTTAAAATTTGTTCCCTGTTGGATTGTATTTCTACCACTCAATTTTCTTCGCATGGGTGGACAGCTCCACGAATTTAGGCGTTAGAGGAAGAAGGGTAGAGAGTATGATATTCCTCTTATCGTAACTGTTTTGCTGGAGGCTCAGAAATGGACACGATGTTTTCTTTATTTTGTTGCCTACAACAGTAGCCTTCTTGCTTCAGGTGGTTTTTCTCAAGGACAATTAGATAGCTTCATTTTCAAAGATACAGATCATAGTTTTCAGAAAGCATTTGATTTATTGTACTTTAGAAAATAAAATTCATAAAAATATATTTCATTAGTGAAAATGCTTGGCACGTGCAGACATTTGTTAAACTTAGTCTCAGGTCCCTGAAGACCTTTATTTTATTCATTTAATGATCTGTCCCTCATATTTAGTCCTCTGAGATTCGTAAAACCTTTCATGACAACTTGATCTTCAAGACGTTTCTATGCCAGCAAACATTCACTCCCTCAGCAGCTGCTCATTCATTCATGCATTGATTCATTTAATGCATAAACGTGTATTGAGGGTATAATTCTCCATGGGTGGCTGTAGGGAGAGGGATGGTTGCAAAAAGTGCATGGCAGATTTTCTCATCCGGGCAATACTTCAAGTCAGAGGAAACAGGCTGCACAATCGCCGCAGTGCAGGGGAAGTCTGACAGGTGTGCAATGGGAGCCTGAGCGGTGATGTTATTTCTATGCTTTGTGGGCCAACTAGTAAAAAAATGGATTTTCAGGCTCACAGTCAATGATATAAGGAGATCTCAGTAGACCATGATGTTGGGTCCTTGAGGATGGAAGCTTTTCATGTTTGTCATCAGCCTCCTTGCTCCTGGTCACCATGGACTCCTTCTATGCATTTGACAGTTCTGGGTGAGCAAGTCAAGGGGTAATTGAGTCCCTGTGTGGAGTCGCAAAGCTGAGTGAGAAGAGTTGGTTTGTTTCAATTCCGCCATTAAATAGCTGCATTCAGAGAAGCCTCTTGTGTCTGGAGATCTCTAAGATCCCTTGGGTTCAGTGATTCCCTGGGAGGACTTGGCAGAGCGCACCAAAGCTGTTTCGCTTGTGCTCATGGTCATCACAGCAGAAGAACACAGGCTCAAATCAGCACAAAGGGGCGCAAGTCATCTTTTGAACTTTTGAGTAGTGCGAACAGTCCTTATTTCTCCTGGCAAGAACACGTGACACTACTCAGGACCTGTTGCCACCCGGGGAAGCCCACCTGAACCTGGTGTCACCCTGCTGGGTTAAGGAAATAGGGATTTGTTATGGTTTAGATGTAAAATGTTCCCCTAAAGCCTCATGTATTCAGAGCTGTGCCTTTAGGAAGGTGATTGGATCGTGTGGGTGCTGTGCCCATCAGGGGATGGATCCATGGATGAGCTCAGAGCTAAACATGCTGTAGGAGCTGGGGCTTGGTTGGAAGAGGTGCATCATGCGGTGAGCCTCTTCAGGGTGCTTCTCTCTCCCTGGCTCCTTCCATCTCTCTGCAGTGGGTTTAGCATCTTTCCTCTGCCATGCCCCTCCACCATGCCATTTCTGTGTTGGAGCTGGCAAAGCACACAAACTACAGCCCCCAACCACAAGCCACATTAAACCTCTTCCCCAATAAATTGTGGCTGTCAGGCATTTTATCCCAGTGACACCACTGCTGACCACCCATGGGGCTCACCTAGTCTCCACCGCCACTAGAGATCTACTTGGTCACATATAGGTCGAGGCCCCACCACGGAACATGCTGTTAGCATACTTTACCTGATGGTGGCCCCAAGTCCCAGACAAACACAGACACCCTCATCACACAGGGTGTTCAGAGTGTTTACGGTTACCATCCAGGAGCCCGGCGAGGCCCAAACCTGTCTTTGAAATGTGTGGTGTGGACAGCCCTGAGCTAGTCCTTTATCTGTGCCTTACTGTCTTCCTCTACAAACTAAAGTGATGTTCAGATGGTCCAAGATAATACACAGCTTTAAAATGCTACAGGGATTTAAATTTTTAATTAAGCAACACAGACGTTTAGCAAGCTATAAAAACCATTGTAATTCAACAAATAGTTAAGAAACAGCAGAGTGTAAAGAGAAAACACATTTTGGGACTTTTCTTACAATCAGGTAATAGTTCTCTATCTTTGCACTCAGCTCATAGGGACAAATGTCGTTCTTTAAGCCACAGCCCACCCGCCCCTGGCTCTTCCAACCTGCCTAGATCCCACCCAACTCTCTGGAAAATGAGCCCCTCTCTGGAGACTTTGAAAATTAGTTCAGGCTAATTGCTGCTGGATAAGAAGAGTTTAGCAGCTGTTTCAAATAAGAAGTAAAGGGAGATGGGCTTATATTGCAGCCAAAAGAATTTCGGTTCAATGTAAGGACAATTTGCTAGCTAAGAAGAGCCCTAAAAAACTAAAATAGTGATGAAGGTTTATAGAGTCTCCCTGCTTCAAATAAAAATAATGAAAAAAATAAACAGAAAGTGTACTTCTTTTTCTGGGCAGTTTAAGTTTAGATCTGACGTTACCAGGGTGCTGTGTACATGATAACAGCTCTCTGTTGGGAGTTAAACCATGTAGCTCAGCAGCTCAGACTTCCAAATCAGACCAGAATTCTGTGGAGACAAGAGCACATTTAGGGCACTTCTCATTTCCATTGAATTTCAGCTGGAATCTGGATTAATTTTGGAGTACTGTGTGGGGTAATTCGGGATGAGAAACACAAGGAGACAGAGTTCTGTTTTGAGCTAGTATTTCTGCTCTCTGTAAAAGTAGGCTTCTGTGAAAAGGAAGCCAAGATAAATTTGAAAGTTGCAATAGCTATGCCTTCAGAGAACGAGACTTTCTACTCAATGAGCAAAGCACTTATACAGAGTGGAGTAGGGAAACATGACTTAACACTGGGAGGCTTGGGGCACCTTTCCTACCCCATCCTGGGAGTCAGGGCCAATGCTCCTGTAGGAAAACGCAGCTTAGCAAGAGAAAAGTATAGCATAGATTGGATGGATCTATGGGCCAACTCTCAGAGAGGGAGGGAAAGTTGGAGTAATATTTCCAATCTCATGGCTGGCTTTTGGGAAGAGGACTTCTAATTTTTTTAGAATTTAGAAAGGACAGAATAAATTAGGAGAAAGAAAGGCAGAAGATCAGGAAGCTCTTGTTTCTTAGCCTCTTCCTTTCAAAGTGCTCAACTGTCGAGGCACCGTGCTCTGAGGTACTGTTCTCTGAGCCCTAACAACATTCACTCACGAGTCATGTGCTGCCTGCTGATTAGCACTTCCTCCAGTGGGTACAAGGTGGGATCTGGACAAAGGGCATGGGGACCGACAAGAAGAAACCATGACTGCAAAAGTAGACAAGGGCGATGTACCATTTAAAGTCAACAGAAGAGTGAGCACGGACGGGCAGTTCACCATGCGCATAACTTTAGAAAAATCCCACTAATTGAAGATCTTATTTGTTATCAAACAAGACAGAGGTTAATGTTAGAGTCTCACCAAGAAAGAAATAGTTTTGGTCTAGCACAATTATCGTTAAATTCACTAATTAACAAGTTCTGAGATGCAAACATAGATCATTAGGATTCATGGAGGAAGTCATGATAAATATAATCTTAATATGAATTCTATAACGGATTTGGAGAAGTTGAGGCCCCACCTAAGTAGCCACCTGAAATAAGTAAAGTAGTTTGGGGACCAGAAGAACTTCCCGGGGCGCCCTTGTGTGTGTACTCTCTGAACTCAACTAGCAGCAGGACCAGCCTGGGACCTGACAGATTAACAGCGATGCCCAAAGTTCCAGGGCACAGCTACAGAGTCCACATCTGCATTTCCGCAAGAGCCTCCACTGATTCTCAGCCCTGTTCAGGTTTGGGAAGCACTGCTTATGAAACTGGCCAGCTCCTGTTGTTTTAAATAAAGTTTTATGCATCACGGTTTTGTGTTCACCTATCCTCATATATGGGACCTTTTGTGTGACAGTAGAAAGATGAGCAGAGTGATTTCCACAGGGATGGTGTGGACCACAAAGCATAAGGTATTCACTAGCCAAACCTTTCAAAAAAGAAGGCTGCCCATGCTCATGAGCCTAGAATATTGTGTCATAGCTTGAATGCGATGGGAAAGAAACTGCCCTTTGCTCTTGGTACCTGGGCTCTAGGATCCAGGCTTTCTATCCCTTCTACAGTGGGAG